GGCACATACAACACTTTTAATTTGATTTTACAAAGCGCAACGAAACAAATTACTTTTTACGCGTCAACAACTTTTGGCGGCAATAAGCTGTTGTTGCTGTTGTTGTTGCCAGAAGTTCTAACTTTTGGCGCAGGGTCACTTTGTTGTCGTGTGATCGGTCACACCGCCCACGCAACAAATGGGCAACCTTGGCTGCAATCAACTCTGTCACGTGCGCCAATTTGAGTCAGATTAACAGTTAGATTAATTGAAAAGTGAAAACGCTATAAAAATTTAATAAATGTATATTTTTTAATAGTGTGAGCTGCGTTAAACGCACAACTGTTGTGCAAATTGCAATTTTCATGCCATTGTCTGCATACCAGCAGTGCCAGTCAGCGTGTCGTCTGGTTCTGCTGCTGATTCTGCTCGTCGTGCCGGCGGCTGTGCGGCAATTGGTGCCGCCAAAAAAAATTAGTTCCAGTTGCGCACAAATGAAATTGAAACTTCATAAACAAGATTTGACTGTGCAGCTCCACAATATGTACTTCATGGCGCTCCCATTTAGGCAGACTCCAGACTGAGGCACTGAGATTAAAAAACAACAACAACAACACTTGGAATGCAGGCAACGCAGTTGTCACGTTTTGCTCTGGCAAATGACCCCATCCCAAGGGAGGAGGCGCGGGTGAGTGCAAAATATTTGTTGTTGCGGCATCGGGTAGCATTCAATGGAATCGCTGGCCATGTTTATAATGAGCTGTGTGGCATGCGGCATTCATTCATTCATAGAAATTCAAAACGCACTCACATGACTGAACCACTAAAATTCGTGGAACTCGCACACAGCTGATAAGGAAACATATTCGTTCGAGTTGAAAGTTTGAAATGCGCAAAAATCAAAAGTCAGTTGAATGAACTGCTCGACAAATATAGATTTTTGGCCATTTTGCGATTGCCAATCGAACGTAGACAAAACTGTCCGTACGTCCGTCCGTCCGTCCGTCTGTCTATTCACTTCCAATTGGCAATGTCAAATGCGAGCCAAGTTTAATGACTTCGACAAAACAAAAACTGTTGACTGCTCTTGACACCCGCTACCAGCTACAATAACAATTACTTGGCTAAAACTGCGCTTGGCTTGTTTGCTTTTTGGTTTATTGAACTCGTTTTTTGACTTTTGATTAGAGGCGTTATTTTTGCATACGAATTTAATAGGAAATATGAGCTGCTAATAAATTATGAATAGTTCATGGTTCTAGAACTTAACACTCTTCTGGTTCTAGCCAGAAAAAAAAAGCATTTAGTTTCAAGCTGTGCAAACCCTCAACCGCAACAGAAACAAAACTAGGTTCAAACACATTAACATGCCCGAAAACCCGCCCTCAAGGTCGCCTATCGTCAACGTCGGCATTTGTTATTGTTTTTATAACAACTATATACACACACACATACACATATGTATATAGATATATAGACGTGCTTGGCATAGCCATAAGTCGGGGCTGTGGCTGTGTTTCCCTGACTTTGACATTCAACTCGCTGGCAGCAGTTCATGTGGCAAGGTCACCCAAGCTCGATACCACAAATGGGCCGAGTACTAACCTAAGCCATTTGTTCACCCAGTTACAGTTTGTTTTTTTCTTCTTTTTTTTTACTAATCGGCCGTTTCGGACTGCGCCATAAAAGTGGCCTGTTGGGTGGGAAAAATACATATAGGTATATATTTACACAGCCTATCGAGCCAGAGAGCTGATAGTAAGTAGCATGTCATGTCGGGCCAGCTTGTGGCTGGTTTTATTTGCTTAACAGCTTACACGACCATCGCGTATCACCTTGTGCGGCACGTGACCGGAGCGACCGGAGACCCGCCCGTTGCCCAACTCAAGCGACTTCAGGGCAAAGCTAGCAACCTGATCGCCTCAGCTATGGCGACGTTGACAATAACAACGGTACTTCTTTATATATATAAATACTTATATACCATATAAGTATATTTATAGGAATGCATATCTTTCGAATCTGGCATCCGCTGTCTGACAAGCGGCTTGTCCCGTTATCGTTTGCAATTTGATTTGCATTGTTTTTCGATTTGGTTCTGCTCCCCTTTATATTTTTTCAATTTTATATATACATATAAGTATTATTTTGTTGTTTTGCCGCATCCACTTACGGACATAAAAATGCACCGCAACGCAAAATAACCTATATGTTACACACACAAATGTAGCTACACATTTATTAGCTTTTAAATATAGTAATTTATTTTTGGAAGTAAAATAATAATAATAATAACCACACAAGAAAAAACAAAACATCGCACAAATCACGTTTTTTGTCACGCGCAAAATGCGAAATTGCGGTTTGTGCTCTTCGCTTTCGGAGCACATTTCCAGAATTGTGGCGCAGTTGGGGACGTGTGCGGCTTGGGTGGGTCTAAATGGACTCAGAACAAGAATTTTAATTGTTAAATTTGAGGTCAATCTAATTAAAAACAAAAGGGCAGCACTGTACGGCAACAGATTTAGACTCTGGCAGCACTAATCGTACACTGTATGGAAAAAGTGCTGCCAATTTGTTTTGATAAACAATTTTTCGTTAGAGTGCAGCCTATATAACAATTTATATATAAATAATTGATGCACTTAACGGACAATGTACACTTACTTACACTGCCTGCCTTTCACATGACCTTTCTTTTGAAATACAATGTTAACGCTTACTTATACTTATATTTAATTAATTAGTTAAATAATGTTAGGGAGCAGTAAACGGATAATGCACGAGAAAAGTGCTGCCCATTTGCATTTAATATGAATAATGTATTTATATGCACTCTTACCGCACAGTGCTGCCTATATAACAATTGGAAAGCTGTCAAACACTAATTTTAAATTAATTTCTTAATTAACTACTGTTTGGCAGTACTAAAATAAATATTTATACAATGTTTCCGTAGAGTGCTGCCCATATAACAATTGGAATGCTTTCAAATACTAATTCATATTTTGCTTATTCGAAATTGTGCTTATGCAAACTTTTATGAACGTTTTTCTCATACTCTTTCCAAGATTGACAAACGCAACTTGCCTTTATAGAATTTTAGTACTAAACCTAACATAATCGATGATTCAGTCTCAAATTGATGCCTCAGGTTTGTGGTTTTTATCGTGATTTAATCAAATTTCTCGGAGGCTAGAAAAGACTTTTTGAACTACTTTTGTTTATATGTAAATAAACACGCTTAAGTGTTAGCTTTAGCTGAAGTGCTGCCAAGTCTGACGCATATTGTTTTAAAAGTTTGACCTTTCGCGTGACTAACTCAAGTGCAATCTATTTGGACTTAAAAATTAATCATACAATTGCGACTGCTGGCGAAAGACAAAGAAATTTTGAAATAAGAATCACATTGAATTACACAATTTTCCAACTCATATTATCTTGTTAATTTGCTTTAGACCTTTATCGCGCGTGCGACTCCTCTACGGGCCGCACGCCTTTTTTGCACAGCTCAGACCCGGCGACGCTCTCCCCAACACGATCTAGATAGCTGATTGCAGTAAATAAGTTGGTCAATATATATGTATGCAGCTTTATATGTGTATAGAGACTGGCGGGCAGTCGGCTTGGACCAGTTGAAACTAAATGAGTCTGCGCTTGTTTGTTTGCCTTGTGCATTTGATTCATGAAAAACAAAATTCCACTTTTGAGTCAACGATATGAGCATATATCGTCTCATATTATCAGCATGATTTAGCACAAATAGAAGTGTATTTTTTTTTGTTTTTGTTTTTTTTTCGCCTTTTGCTCTGGACTCGCCCTCCATTGCAGTAGACTTGGCGGAAACTTTTGCCGCGAGCATATGACGCCTAATTGCAGGGTATTATCGTAGATTAGAAAACCCGCTGACTTTTTTTTTCGTTTTATAGACAACTAAAGTCCACTCTGTGACTAGCTGCCAGCACTCTGCAAGTTTATTGTACATTGTACTTAAGTCATGGAATATTACAGTGGCTGTCCCTAATTGTTTTACAGCGAGCAGGGCGGCGAGAGAGAGAGAGAGAGTGAAAGGGGGGTAGACTCATATTTGATTAACATGAACAACATCTTTGTTGAATGTGATTCTCACATCATCACGAGCTAAAACTGGATGCTGTGCATCATTGCAATATCTGATGCAAGATCTTATAATAATACCTCTTATTAAAATCTTTAATTATGTTTAACCTAATTGCAGTCGCTGAGTTAGTCATAGAACTGACGTCTAGGTTCTACGTAGGAAAAAAATATACTGACTACATATATGTATAATTTTTGTTGTTGTATGCATTGTCCACGAAAAACCTTAACTAAATTCCTGAGTCTTCCGATTCACATGACGTTGCGCTAAATTTTCTGCTGAAATGTCTTGAAATTCAAGTGCAAGATATTTTTCAATTATTTGGCGAAGTAAACAAATGTATCATCATGTTTCAAAAGCATTTGATAACTTTATGTGAACCAAATATTTTATTGTTCTGCTGGAAAAAAAAAGAAACGAAAAACAAAAACTTTTGCCTGATTATATTGCAAAATATTTTGAAATTTTAGCTAAAGCAGCGAGCAAGATTTATACGTATACGACAAGTACGCAAAGATATGCGTATGAAATCATCGGAAAGAAACAAATAAACTGAAAAAAGCACAAAGAACACATTTATCACAAAATTGCGATCGTAATTCTCTGGGCCAAGCCCCGTTGTATGATGGCAGGAACTCCAGGCCAGAACATATTTCAATTTGCGCAAATAGTTCGCACCTGTTGCTTTTCTTTTAATGGTTCCACGCTGTCTCTGGCGTTTTACAACACAGTTTCTCAAGAGTTTTTATTGTTTTGTAGTTTTGCTGAAGGCTTTCACCAAGGTTTTTAGACCTTTTCAATCAAAGAAGAAGAAAACACTTTATGCGTATTTAATTTTTAGTACGATTTTTTGTTATATATTTTATTCTTTTTTAGTAGTTTGTTTTTGTTGAGTGTTGGTCAACTGTTTGTTTTTGTTTTTCCGTTTTCTTTCTTTTTTTCAAAATTCTTGTTTTTGCTTTTCCTTAGACGCTCATTATGTTCACTATATCACGTGGTCTTATAAATAGATCGCTATACATGTTTGTATGTGTATATATATATTTATATATATACTTTCTTTAGCTTACAGACAATAGAAAAACCCTAAGAGGCTTAGCATATATACTATATATACGTGAAACTATATTTAAATGGAGAGATATAAGGTATTATTAAAATTATAGTTAAGTTTTTGTCAAAACTAATTTCGACTTTAAACACAAACGCTTTGTGGAAGACTTTGAAGATTTCATTGCTGTGTGTGTGTGTGTGTGTGTAGCGTGAAATTCTAAAACAAAATTCTAATACATGATTCATGAGGCAATTCAACACCAAGTACTTGGACTGAGGTAGTTTGGCGATATGCAGAATACCATTTGAGAAATGAATTCACAATAATAATATAATAATAAATAAATTATAACAATTTGTTTGTGTGTGTGTGTGTGTGTATGTGTGTGATGAATGTCTCCATCTCGCTGGGCATTTTCCAGTGGAAAATGGACTTCGACGAGATTTCAACAAATTAGGAGTCTCGCATGCTCGGAACACTTCAAAGCAACATTTGCGTTATCCTGGCGAAATGTGGTGAAATGTCAATTGCGCAATGCTCTCAACGCCTGCGCAAGTGTGTGAGTGTGTGTGTGTGTGTGTGTGTATGTGGGAGTGTGTGCGTGTGTGTGTGCGACGCCCATCAGTCTTTAAAGCGGTTGGCGGGTTGGCGGGAGGAGATTCAAAACTGAACCCAATCTAAGCGAGAGAGAGAGAGAGAGGGAGAACGAGCGCCTGGCTCATTTACCAGGGCCGCCAGGGCTGCTCCTCCTCCACCTTGATCTGCTTCTTGATGACCAGCGAGAGCGGCTGCTGCTCCAAATGCAAATGCGGCACACGCTGTATAACCGAGGGCTTCACATCCATAGGCTCGTACGCGGAGTTGGCGGGACTGGGCGGCGCATAGCTGCCTCTGCTGCTGCTGCTGCTCGGCGCCGACTCGTAACCGGCCGAGGAGTGCGAGCTGGCGGAACCGGTGCTGGCCGTGCGCTGCGGCATCGCCACCAGCAGCGGCGATTGCTGATGCTGCTGTGCCACGGCCGCAGCGGCGGCGGCAGCGGCAGCCGCGGCTGCTGCCAGTTGCTGTTGTTGCTGGTGATGTTGGTGCTGCTGCAGCAACTGTTGCTGCTGCTGCTGTGGCAGGCTCTGTGGCAGCACGAGCGCAATGCTGCCGTTGGGCAGCTTGGTGGGTATCACCTGCATGCCATTGGGCAAGAAGTAGCCATTCGCATTCTGTTGGATCTGGCCAAAGAGATAGGGCGCTGTTGTGTTGCTGTTGTTGTTGCTGCTGCTGTTGTTGTTGCCGCTGGCTGCAACTGGCGTGACGGAGGGCTCCTGCTCCGGGGAGCTGGGCGGCGAGGGCAGCACAACTTGGGCGTGCAGCGATTGCGCCTGGGCTAGCGCCTGCTGGCGCTGCTGATGATGCAGTTCGGTCTTGACGCCATTGATGCAGTTGCTCAGATGCTGCAGCAGACGGCGACGCTGGGTGGAGTCAAGGCCGGGAAAGCGGCTAACCTCATTGGCGCAATCTGCAAAGCCGGCCTTGAACTTGTTTATGATCTTGGGATCGGCGGCCTGTTGCATGGCTGCCTGCTGGCGCTGCAGTTCCTGCAGATGTTTGACTGTCTTCTCCAGAATGTCGGCCTTCTCTAGCTTGGAATGGCGCGCCGGCTAAAATGAAGCAAAAGCAAAACAAATGCAAAGTTAGTTAAATGTACATTTACCAAAAGGGGGAAAGGGTTTAGGGGCAGGGTTGAAGTTCGTTTTTTGGATTTTCGTATACACTAGAGATACTTACGTCTTTTTTGGTAGCATCCAGGATGAGAGTCTTAAGCTCGTTCAGGCAATTGTTGATGCGTGCACGTCGACGTTTCTCCATAATCGGCTTGTTCGACTGCAAGAGAGAGAGAGAGCGGGGGAAAGGGTTGAGATTAGTCACGAGTTTGGGCCATTTGGATGCACAGTTGGGGCACAGTTTGACCTCATGCAGCGCCAACGAAAATAGAGGCATCTGCGTGTGGCTTTAATTGGACACGGACTCAACATTGTCATCGCCGTTGCCGTCGCACTGGCTGGGGGCCAAAAGACAGCGGCGCGGCGCGTGCTCTATTTATATTGCGCTCATGCACTCGCCCGCCGTGTGGCCAAAAATAGTTTTTGGCGGTTATAAATTACGATAAGCAACGAGCCGCTGCGGCTAAAAATAAATAACCAACACGCAGGTATTTCTAGCAACAACAACAACAACAACAACAAGGTCGTCGTGGGAAATTCGAAGACGCAAAAACAAAGCAACAAACAACAAAACATGTTGTTGTGTTTTTTTGCAGAATAAAATTTGGTTCTGGCCAAATTTGGCGCAGCGCGACGCCCGCACTGTATGAAGTCAGCGGCAAAAGCCAAAAACGGCCAAAAGCGACAGCTTTTTTTTTTCATCCCAAAAGAGAAGCTGATGACCGACAATTGCAGCGACCACGCGCCAAATGGAAGCCGCTCAAGTGGGCAGCCGCAACCAATTTTGGGTGGCACTCATGAATGGACCGGGCCATCTGGCTGTCCGTCTGTCCCTCCGTCCGTCCGTTTGTCTGTCTGGCGTTAGCTCCATGAATGAAGCCCCAACGTAAATGCCGCCAACGCCAGACGGCGGCGTCGTGTGTTGGCGAGCCGACGGCTTATGGCCATACTTGTGGCCACAGTCGGTGGCATGTGGGAGCCGACGTCGACGGCGACGAATTGTGGCCAAAAAGGAAATGCATTTGGGCAGCAGAATTGGCAAACTGTGTGTGTGGGACTCGCTTACAAAGTGGGAGACAGCAGCTAACTTGTATTTGATTTTCAAATCGCTTGTAAAATATTTATTCATTTCTTATGAAATATGCCCAAATTGGCAAATAAACAAGCGAAAAAGCAAATAGTAGAAAGAAAAAAGCTAAAGAGCATAAATTATGGCTACATAAGATACGCCTCTAGCATGCGCATCTCTAATTTGTTGGCTTTTTAATCCCAAGTTTAGCTGCTGTCAATTTCCATTTTGTACGGTTCTTTTTTTTTCTGGTTGTCTTTCTCAACACTTACCCGACGATCGCTTTTGATTGGCGCCTCCTTGTGCTGCTGCTGCTGCGTGGAGACGACAGCGGTGCCCAATACATTGGGGCTCATGTTTGTGGTAACGCCGGTAACCATCTCGATATCGGCTATATATTGTTTATGCAGTTTAAGACACAGTTTGATAGAGTTTTTCTTTTCTTTTTGCACTAGCAGCAAATGCAGAAATTTGCTGCGCACTTTCTTTACAGTTAGTTTGTTGCACTGCTTAGTTTGTTTGTTGTTGTTGTTGTTGTGTAATTCTTGCAAAGCAGTTGATTTGTTTAGTTTTCAGTTTCAAGATCACTTTTCACTTTCGCGCAACGACGACGAGACGAAACTACGTCGAAATACGTTATAATATTGCTTGGAGAGTTTTTATTTCTGATATTCTTCCGCTTGAGTGGGAGAGGCAACCGCACGCTACAAGCTACGGCAAGCGAATGGCTGTCAGGTTCTAAATGCAGCGCGATTAAACGTTTCCCGAAGCACGAAGCGAGCGACGACGAACGATCGTTTGGTACGACGACGAATCGGCAATGTGTGTGCGAGTGCGTGTTGGTGCTTGTGTGTTTATGTATGCGTGCGTTTTTGCTGGCGACCACCTTATCGCATGGGCTTACAGCAGACGACTGACGATTGATCGACAGGTTCGCTGGCTAAATCGAAATCGCCGCAGCGCGAGCCACACGACCAGGCACTCACACCAACACACACACACACACACGCATACAAGATATTTGGCTGCATACATTTGTGTGTTTATGTAGGTAGCAACGATGTCGGCTCTACCTGTGTGTGCAGTCAGTTTATCTACGCCGCGGCCTTTGCGAGAGCGCACAGTTACTCATATGCCCCCCTCTCTCTCTCTCTCGCTAAGCGCAAAAAAAGCACTGCAAGTTCTATTGGGCATTTCTTCCTTTTTGGAAATATCAAAACCCCCAGTGAGCGTGCGAGCGGGATTCACAAAATGCGCGAGAGCGCAGCACAGTCACAGACGGATACGGCGTAGACAGAGATAGCGACAGCCACAGGAGAGCGTGGCGCTGATTCATGCGGCCAACGCGACGACGCGTCGTCGTCCCATAGAAGGTGAAAATAGCAAACGGCAGCAGCTCACCCAGAGACTTAATGTTGATATGACGCCACCCCAGCGCCGACAGGTTCGTGCGCCTCGTTGTGTCTGCGTGTGTGTGTGTGTAGGTGTGTATGTGTGTATGTGTTATGATGTCGTGATCGGTGGGGTCGCTAAACAGTAAACAAGATCACAAGGTTGCTCGCGCAGTTGGGGCTGTGCGCACGCCAAGCGGAAGCGGGCGGCACCGCAACACCTGCGTCACCCACAATCTAACAACCACACACACACACAGAAATGCTCCAAATTATTTGTACTTTAATTTATTTTTTTTGACTGTGCGCCATGTAACTGTAACCCATTCCGCATGCCAGTCGCGGCAATTAAGCCATAGAAGGTCACTTACACTGGCACACATTCAAGTGCGTGTGTGTGTGTGCGTGTGTGTATTTGAATCAATCAATGCTTTGAGGCAAGGCTGATGAGCGCTTTACACGTGCGTCTGGCAACGCTTAGATTTGTTTTTATGGCGTCTACGTGCAGCGCGGATTCTCACGTTTGCAGTTATCAGTTTCTCGAAGGTTGGCGCCTTAATCACAACAGGCAGCTAAATAAATGGCTTTTCCCGGTCACTGGGTAGACGAATATTGAGTATGTTTGTGGCTATTTGCCTGGCATAAACATATGTTAGTATGTGTGCTTGTGTAAAATAATGTTAAATCAATGGGCAAAGAGATAACAGAGCATATGTACGTACACATGTGTAAATCACGTGGCAACATCAGCGAAAGTGAGAGTGAGTGTAACAGAGCGTTAAGCATTCTGTGCCACTCTGCATTACGTGTAACGTTCTTGTAAGCTGAGCTTGCAAAAGCTGCTAGTTGAACTATGTATATGTGTATGTAATGTGTGCACCAGTAAAAAGCTCCTTTACTTGCTGGCTGTAAGAATGTTAAGCTTTACAATTTCATAAATCTTTTGCATTTGCATGGATATTAAAGCTCTATAAAATTGCAGCTTTTAGTTGCATGATTTTGCGTTGTTTATGCATATGGCTAAGTGGGTCAACTTTCTGTGTTGCGCGTGTTGCGTTGCATAGTGTATAAAGTCACGAGTTTTATGCGTTTTATGGTTTGTTTAGAAGGTTGCACAGCAGAGACCCCCGGCCAGAGTCGGACGTCGTGCAACACCTTCGCGTTCCAATTACAATTTGGCAGCCGATCAAAAGGCTGCCGCCCGCGGCTGGCGGCAGCTACGCTGGCGGCACTTGTGCATGCCAATTTAATTGCACACTGGCAGCGTTTACATCATGTGGCTGCTGCTGCTTCTGGCCAAAAACAGCAACTGGCAGCTAAGGTGTAGGATGTGGCACACATATACACCCATACACAAGCAACGTACAGTTGTTTGGCGCGCCTGATCGCATGCAGCGTCTAAAATAAACTGTGGCAAAAATTTATAGTCCGCCTGAAAAACACACACAAAAACAACGCAAAAATGTGCGCATTGCTAATTGCGTCTAAATTTAAACAGAGAGAGAGAGAGAGGGAGAGAGCGAAAGAGGACGAGCGGGCGCAGCGGAACAGAGCGCCAGAGGCTGCGGCGTTACACCAACGACAGAGACGTCAGCGTAGCAGTGGCAGCGACGCCCACGCGCCAGACTCTGCCCTGCTGGCAACAGCGCAGCGGCAGCAACAGCAGCAGCCCCATGTAACTAAAAATAACAGCGTGAGAGCGAACGTCAGACAGAACAAGCGAGCCGTTGGGGCTTAGATCTGTTAGAGAGAGAGAGAGAGAGAGAGAGCGCGAGAGAGGGATAGAGAGCGAGATGAGCACGCTTCATGGCCGCCCATGCAAAATACATTTTGCTCGTACATTTCGCTGCGCTTTGCGCGCGCGTCTCGCGATTAAAATGCCATAAAAATCGCCAACGCAGCGGCCGCATGTGTAAAGCGCGCGTGAAATGCGCTAAACGCAATGCACTATTATTGTTGTTGTTGTTGTTTTTATGCACTTAATGGCGCTGTACTTTTTGGCAATGCAACAACAACAACAGAGGCAGCCACACTGAAATCTTTGCACAATTGTTGCTGTTGTTGTTGTGCAAGTATTTTATTACTCATTAACGTAACGACGCATTTTGGGCCAACGGGCCGTAGCCGCTGCCAACGGCGCCGCTGACGTCGCACAGAGTTCAATACGTTGATCGGTCGTGCGCATAGAGAGAGAGAGGGAGAGGGAAGGGTGGGGGTTGCTTGCGTTTTGTATTTGCGGCAGCAGCGCCAGCGAAAAAAAAAATACAAGTAAACAACGGTAGACGTTCTAAATTTAGCCACAGGTAAAAGCTCAAAACAAACGGTTTGTTTTTTATTTTGATTATTTTTGGTATGTTTCTTTGGGGTGGGGTAGCAGCTTTATAAGGGCAGGCCAGATCGCGTGATGCGCAAAGGTGAGCTGCGCTGCAGAGAGGCAGGTAAAACTGGTTGCTCGAAATACGGTCCAATTAAAGCACGCAACAAGATGCCGTTAATTTGCGCACACAAATATAACTAATTTCGGGAGGTTTAATTAACCAACAAGTTGTGTATTATAGGTATTAAATGCAGAATGAAAGTAGAGAGAAGAGACCTTAAATATTGAAAATTTCTAACTTTTTGTGTACAGTTAAAAGTTTCTCTAACGGTAAACTCCCTGGCAGGAACATACCTAGCCCGCAGATCCTTGGGTTCCTTTGGCTTTTTTTAGTTTCAATGGTAAAATAAATTATTATATAATATGATAATGTATTATTATTGTTTCACGTAGGATTATATGGAAACATTAAGATATATACTAGAAATATGTAAACAAACTGGAATATTATATCATTTTCTTAGTAAATATCCTTATAGTAAATATCTTTTAGCATATTACTGAGACGTAGAACAAAGAAAATTGAAGAGTTAAAAAGGGTCCATCCGATTCCCGGGCTTATCTGTAATCTCTATACATCATCCGTCTGGGATCCTCTCATTTTGCAGCTCAGTCGACCATTTTGTATAGTTTTTGGATGGCTTGACTTTTCGACTTTAGTCGGCATCAAAGTCAGGTCTTATAAAGTCAACTGTCTTGGCTGTTTGGTAAATATTCGTGAAATTTCCGGGCAAAATAGCGAACGGCAAGTTAAGAGTTAAATCCTTTCGCTGGAAGTGGCAGAACAGCTCCGGGGCCAACCCTTTGCCAATGGGTTCCGTTCGGTAGCCGTTGGGCGTTAAGCAGCGAGAACGCCCCTCGGCCAGCGAAAGGATTTAGGCGCAGCTACTGCTCCTGGTGCCGTGAGCTTAGATGCGACCGCGTTAATTAAATCGCTTTGGACACGCTCGCGAGATGGCCGCAATGATGGCCAAAGGGTTTCCGAAAGGATTAGAGCGCACAGTGGACCAGGTAGCGTTACGGTTTCTATTAACAGGATGATCATGCACATCAAAGGGCTAAAACCACACACCCATAAAACTGGCCGTGCAACAATGGCAAGCGCGTGTACAAGTCGCAGGACGCAGGACTCTAACCGGCCAGCCACCACAGCCCGTTCATCAGGCCATCAACTCTTCTGTTTATTGCACCCTTTACGCGAGCTGCTTTTTACCTAGCCAAAGGTTTAGGCCCGATACGGCAAAGGATTCCCACTGCACTGGGCCGTGCCGTACCGGACCGGACCGTACCGAGCCGGGCCGTGACATGTTTGTTTATTTGCCATAAAAGGATTATGGGCGTGGGCAGGTAAAGGCTTCGGGCTGCCGTTGGGTTAGACGACCGCACGCCCCTCTGCTTTGCACTTAACCCGTTGGCCGTGCTCTGGCCCATGAATCCCATGATCTAGCAACGGGTACGGCCTTTCTCTCACTCTCTCCTGCTCTCTTCCCCTCTCACTTTCTTGGTCGCAGGACTTCCTGGTAGTTGCAGTTGTCTTTTGCCCAGCCTCCTATCATCATTTTCACTAAAAAAGTCAACTTTGGCTCATAAAAAACAAACAAACCGAAGAAAAAAGTCTCCGTTCTGTTGCGTGGCGTTGCGTAAAAAACGCACGCAATTCCAACTAAACAAGGATCGAATATTTCTTTTGGCAAATCTCTTCGTTGACAACAAATTGCATAAAAAACTGATGTGCACTAACAGCATTTACGAGTTCGCTAAAAAAAAAGAGAAGAGAAAGCAAAATTGCAAATAAAATGTAAAAATAAAAATGGGAAACATCTTAACCCATAGCTGGGCTCTCAAGGTGAGGATGGGTTTGAGCCCGCGCACAAAAGCGCAACATGCAGAAGGATTTTATGGTTTTATTTAGGGTTATTTACGGTGTGCTCGCCTCCTCAATGCCAAATCAATTGGCGTGCAAACGTCAACTCGTCAGACCAACTAGCTTCTGCCTCTCCCTTCCGCGCGCACAGCTTGTGCCTCGGCTGTTTTACCTTTACCTGTGGCACGAAGGAGTAAACAGCCGCAGGCGAAAGAGTTCTTACCTAGCATTAGACTCGCGCCGAAAGAGGTTGCTGGCATAGGGTAGAGTTTAGGGTTTCCACGGATTAGCTGGCGGGTTTTGGCTTTATGAGCGTCACGCTAATGTGCCGCATGTCCTTGATGAGTCGCTGCCGCAGTCGCTGCCGCAGTCGCTGTCTCAGTCGCTGTCTCAATCGCTGCCGTCCGATTCGCAAAGAGTTTTTACGACACGCACACACAACTGGCCAAGCAGGCACAGACTCTCGAATCCTTGCCAATTTCCGGGAATATTATTTGCGTGGCCAACACACACGCACACGCACACAACTATAGAAAATGCCGCAAGCCAGCGCCAGAGGGCGCTGCGCATAAATTTCTCTAATCGCTTTGGGCCAACTCAAAGGCCGCACCGACCAATTTTGCGCCCCCAAAAACCATTTCGCCGAGCTAATTTCGGGTCTAATTTTTGCTGGGCACCGTTAGACCAGCAGCTGGCGACCGTCTGCCTGGCCATAATCTACATAAATATTTGCCTAATGACAGGATGTCTTAGCCAGGGCGAGAGTTCGACAGAGTTTCCCACAGCCAACGCGCTCGAGTGGGCGTCGTGTTTGGTAGCCAGAGCAAAAATGCCAAATGCCATTAAAAAACGAAGAAGAACAACAACAAAAACTCTGCTGCACTCATGTACGTGTATATAGATCGTTGAGGTGCTAAAAATGTTTTACGAGTCTTCACAAATCGTGACCAGACTTTGGCTGCGTCTGCGATTCCGACTCCGACTGCGAGTCAGACCCTGGCCCAGACCCTGAGATCTTGGTCCATGTCCAAGAGTCTCAGCGTAGACAGAAGGTGTTGAGCATATAAAATGATGCAAAAAAAAGCAACAACAAGAACAACAAAAAATCAACAGTTAAGTTGAAGAAAGTTAGGGTATTCACGAATCGGTAATGTCCTTACCAAAGTTCTTACGACCATGATCTTGAGCTTGATCTTTAAATTGAAATATATATGGATTTGAACAAAGATACAAACTCTTTTTTAAAACAACAATCTGGGATTTGAACTGGCAACCTACTCACAAGAAGTTGACTTATTGATATGTATAATCCATACGAGCAACATAACTCAAGAGCCAAGTGAAGTACTTCAACTGTATTGCAGGGTATCGAGCACAACACGGGAATCGCGTGCAAAGGAAGCTTCAACGACAATCCGCAGGCCAGGCCAAAGAAATCGACTGTGGCATCGATCATAAATGCCCGCCGCCGAATGGAAATGGGAATGGGTATGAGACTGAGACTGCGACTGAGACTGAGAATGGGAATGGGAATAAACAGAAGAACCGGTGCCGGTTGGGCATCATTGCATGCACTATTGAACTTTTTGAATGAAACCGACAGGCTCCAGCAACTGCAGCAAGAGGCAGCAAGAAAACAACAACAGCCAGCTGTGGCAACAAGATGGCCAGTGAGGCGTTTGTTGGGCCAACGGCAAGCTGTAATTTACACTCCTCAACGCTGGGGTGGCGTTGCCCCAAGATCTTGTGGCTGCCACACAGCATCCCAGGCAGCATCAGCACAGCGGGCAGCTTGTCACGATAGTCGGAATCGCAGTTGGAGTTGGACTTGCAGCGAGATCATGCCCGGCGATTACCTAAACGCACACACACACACCGGAC